TTAATCTACGCATAAAGGTCAAACGAAAGGAATCAAATAAGCAAACTGTACGCAAGGAACCAGAAGAAGCAAACCGTAAAAACTAGATCCCATCCTTTCACTACAACGTACCTGTGTCTGACGCTACGCTCTTCTTTATCCTTGCGACTACTTCTGCCTTTGTCGTCCTCCTGTCTATCACGGCCCTTGTCGCTTCGCCTATCTCGACTGCTGCCATCCTTTTTCTCATTCGTCTTCTTCTTGTCAACCTCTACCTTTTTAGCCCTGAGAATATTTCCCTTTCAAAACGTTAAAATTACGAAGAAATTCCTTAGCACAACTTGATAGCAATAACTCGACCCACCTTTTACGCTTAACTTCTCCGCTGCTGCTCGACTCGTCGCTATCGGAAGAAGAGGAGTCATCGGAAGAATCTTCAGATGAATCTAAATCCACTGCATTCTGAGACTGATGTGAAGAACAAAAATTACCTCAACTTAGCAGCTTTCATATTAATCATCTGTGAGCTACTGCTGTTTTGAGGAGTCGTATGACTACAGGAGAGCGTAAATTCAACGAGAAACCAAAACTATTTGAACTGAAGTTATGTAAGAAAAATCTAGAAAGTAAACTTCATCAAGCATGAGATAAGCTGCGTCCAGATCGCTCTGCCTCTATGAGTCTATCAAACATTACTTAAAATCATTAATGTACTACTAATCGAGCACATGCAGTAAGACTGGTTGGAAAATTCACGGCTTCAACTCCTTTTGTAAATATTTCAATCCCACTGGCATGCAGGTCAATGGATGCGCCTCTGACGCCAACGCTCGGCCAACTAGTTTATTCTCTCTTCCAGGAAGAACGGGAGCTGGGACTGGGAGAAGTCGCCGTGTGCTTGCCTTTCCCTTCCTCTCGAGCTTTACCGTGCAATAAACTTCAAGGTGGCCGAAGAAGCGGTAACCAGGTAAGGGTCGTCGGGCTGTCGGAGCATGGGATAGCACCAGCCGGTCGTACTCCTCCAGCTCAGCTTAATTCGCCTTTCCGACTAAGGTTGTAGCGGAGACTGCTCCCGGCCCTCGTTTGTGGTCACGCTGGTAACCAGCCAGATTCCCTAGAACCCTAGCCTCGCCTCCGATTACTCGCTTTGGCCTCTTCCAACGCCTTCCGCAATGAATAAAATTAGATGGAGAATCAGTTCAACGTAGCTCTACAACTATTCTAACCATAAGTCCTAACTCCCGTCCTATCTCATATGAATCGTTTTTGAAATTTTACGAAAAGATTGAGCAGGGAACTATACGGTAAACCTAATGTACGTTGAAGAAATACCCAACATAGCAACAACTAGGTCCAGATTTTTGTAGGGTAAGAAAACCTTGGGCAAATCGAGGATTACACGACCACTGGAGGCCATGTGGACTACAACCATGTTACTATCTTGTCTATAGGATAGGTACAGAAAAAATCGCGAAAATTCGTCCAACTTCAATCTCGAATCTGATCCCCATTCGAGGATGAAACAAAAACCTCTGATCCTGAGAGTTATCACGTAATTGAGGGCTCAGTAGTGAATTTGTTGCATAGGGAGCTGTACCACCCATACTCATGGGAACCAAACATTAATATTGATGACAAAAGATATCGTTGGAGCATCGATTTATTTGGTATTAGAATGCCAGTGCAGTCCGCAATGTGCCAGAGAGATAAAAAGAGCCCCATGAGTGTAGTGATAAACATCAAAGAGAGCAAGCGAACAAGGGTACGATTCTGATAACAGTTTCTCCAGATACCGCAATTGACCACGCTCACAAAATCGCCCTTTTTCCCAGTTACTAAAGCGAAGCGATCTGTCGCTTGTCTGTTTGCCTCCGACCAGGAGCGCTTTGAACTTCCCATGGAACTTTGAAAGGAGACCTAGTGTATCGATAGAGTCTTGAACGCTGATTACAAATATGGACACTAAAACTGCTACGTGAACTTCCTAAGAAAGTTATGAGCCTTCAAAGTTGGCAAAAAACGTTACTGAGGCGAGCTTACCTGGTGGAATCACAGTCGCCGTGGCTCTGTGCCAAAAATGAGCCTCATATTCGTGATCAAGGCACTCATTTACCCTGGCTTCCGCGAACTATGCGGGTAAATTTGAAAACGCTCCATCCACCACAGTTCGCGGGCACTATCGACTCGTCCGCGCTCGCCGCGGCCGCGCCCCAAATCGTGAAGAAAGTGGGGGAGCCAGGGTAAATGAGTGCCTTGATCACGAATATGAGGCTCGTTTTTGGCAAAGAGCCACGGCGACTGTGATTCCATCAGGTAAGCTCGCCTCAGTAACGTTTTTTGCCAACTTTGAAGCTCATAACTTTCTTAGAAAGTTCACGTAGCAGTTTTAGTGTCCATATTTGTAATCAGCGTTCAAGACTCTATCGATACACATAGGTCTCCTTTCAAATTTCCATGGGAAGTTCAAAGCGCTCCTGGTCGGAGGCAAACAGACAAGCGACAGATCGCTTCGCTTTAGTAACTGGGAAAAAGGGCGATTTTGTGAGC